AGATTCAAGCTCCATGATGAGTCAATAAGATTGTTGACTGAAGTCAGGTATGTACCTGATTTGAAGAGAAATTTGATTTCTCTTGGTGAATTCGACAAGAAAGGATATGTTTTTCAAGGAGAGAAAAGTATCCTAAGAGTCATGAAAGGGTCGAAGGAAGTCTTGAGAGGCGTGAAGAAACAAGGCTTGTATACCCTTGAGGCTGAAGTTGTAAGTGGTTCGACAAATGTTGCATCCACGAAACCTTTGTCGAAAACAGAAATTTGGCACATGAGATTGGGCCATGTCAGTGAAAGGGGTCTGGTTGAATTAGGGAAACAAAATCTGCTTGGTGGAGATAAAGTCGAAAAGCTGAAGTTTTGTGAACCCTGTGTACTTGGAAAGTCCTGTAGAATGAAGTTCAACAAAGGCAAACAAAGAACACATGGATCCCTTGATTACATCCATGCTGATCTTTGGGGGCCTGCAAGGTGTCCATCACATTCAGGAGCAAAGTATTTTCTATCCATAGTAGATGACTATTCCAGAAAGTTATGGGTATTCATCCAGAAGACTAAGGATGAAACTTTTGAGAATTTCAAAAGTTGGAAGACTCTTGTCGAAAATCAAACTGGCAGAAAGGTAAAGAGGTTGAGAACCGACAATGGCCTTGAGTTTTGCAATGAGGCGTTCGACAGTTTTTGTGTTGCCTCTGGTATTGCAAGGCACAGAACTACCGCAGGTACTCCACAACAAAATGGTTTGGCTGAAAGGTTTAATCGAACTATTTTGGAAAGAGTTAGATGCATGTTGACTAGTGCGGGATTAAAGAAGGTGTTTTGGGCTGAGGCCGTTTCGACAGCAGCATATCTGATAAACAGATGTCCTTCGACAGCGTTAGATATGAAGACACCTGAAGAAGTTTGGTCGGGACATCCACCAGATCTCGACAAACTAAGAGTATTTGGCTGTGTAGCCTATGCTCACATTAGGCAAGACAAGGTCGAACCTAGAGCTCTGAAATGCATGTTTATGGGATATCCTGAAGGAGTGAAAGCTTATAGGCTATGGTGCCTAGAGCCAGGTCACAGGAGGTGTATCACCAGTCGAGATGTAGTTTTCAATGAAACTGAAATGGTTTTCAAGAAAACTGATGATGTTGACGAAGAGCTGGAACAGGTAGAGATTCCTGTTGAGGTGGAGCATGTTGATGCTGAAATGCGTATCCCAGATGAAGTCGAAGAAGAAACAGAAGACCCTGATGATGTTGAGGAAACTGTTGATGACTACCTATTGTCGAGAGATAGGCAAAGAAGAGTCATAAAACCACCTCAGAGACTTGGATATGCAGATCTTGTAGCTTATGCCTTAATCTCTGCAAGTGAAGTTCTAGACGAAGAACCTAGAGATTATAAGGAAGTTATAAGGAGTCGAATGAAGACTGAATGGCTAAAGGCCATGGATGATGAGATGAAATCTCTTCATGATAATCACACTTGGGAACTAATCAAGAAACCTGTTGGGGCAAGGTTAGTCAGCTGTAAGTGGATTTTCAAAGTTAAGGAAGGAATTGAAGGAGTAATGTCGAAGAGGTACAAGGCAAGATTAGTCGCAAGGGGTTTCACTCAGAAAGAAGGTGTCGACTTCAATGATGTATTTTCCCCTGTTGTGAAGCACAGATCCATTCGAATGTTGCTTGCCATGGTGGCTCAGTTCGACCTTGAACTGGAACAAATGGATGTGAAGACTGCGTTCTTGTATGGTGACTTAGATGAAACGATCCTGATGAGGCAACCTGAAGGGTATGTCGAAAAGGGGAAAGAAGATTATGTGTGCAAACTGAAGAAATCTTTATATGGACTTAAACAATCTCCTCGACAGTGGAATAAGAGATTCGACAAGTTCATGGAACACATAGGTTTCATTCGAAGTCAGTTCGACCATTGTGTTTACTCCAGATTTCGACCTGAAAATTCATTTGTTATTTTGTTGCTCTATGTTGATGATATTCTGATAGCAAGCAACAATGTCGAAGATGTTATGAGGGTGAAGGCTGAACTCAATAAGGAGTTCGACATGAAGGATCTGGGAGCTGCATCTAGGATTCTTGGAATTGACATTCGAAGAGATAGAAAGCAGTCGAAATTATGCTTATCTCAAGAGGCATACCTACGAAAGATTCTTGACAAGTTTGGTATGTCGAACTCGAAGCCTGTTGTGACTCCAACAAACCCTCAATTCAAGCTGAGTATTGATCAATGTCCCAGTACTGATGTTGAAAGAACATATATGAATAGCATCCCATATGCTAATATAGTTGGTTCTTTGATGTATGCTATGGTCTGTACTAGACCCGACATAGCATATGCAGTAAGTCTTGTAAGCAGGTACATGGCGAATCCTGGAAAGGCTCACTGGCAAGCGTTAAAGTGGATTCTAAGGTACATAAATGGGTCTCTGAACAGAGTCTTAATTTATGGTGGAGCCTTGGGTGAAGATAGTAAAGCAGCTGTCGAAGGCTATGTTGACTCTGATTATGCAGGCTGTATGGATTCCAGAAAATCTATTTCTGGATATGTTTTCACTATGTTTGGTACATCAATTAGTTGGAAAGCAACTCTTCAGAAGGTTGTTGCCTTATCAACTACTGAAGCAGAATATATTGCCCTAACTGAAGCTGTGAAAGAAGCATTGTGGCTTGAAGGTTTTGCAAAGGAATTGAAACTTCAAGGTCAAGGTATCACTGTTAAATGTGATAGTCAAAGTGCAATACACCTGTCGAAGAACTCAGCCTATCATGAGCGAACCAAGCACATAGATGTGAGGCTGCATTTCGTCAGAGGGGTAATCGAGCGTGGAGAAGTCCAAGTGCTGAAGGTCTCGACAGAACACAATGCCGCTGATATGATCACCAAAACATTGCCAAGTTGCAAGTTTTTCCACTGTATGCAGTTGATAAAGCTGCATGAAGAAAGCTAGTTAGTGTCTCTTGATGCTGTAGAGTTAGGTCCAAGGTGGAGATTTGTGGGATTTTGGATCGAACTCTAGTTGGTCGAAGTACTTGCTGTAGTCGAAGAAGGTTCTAGCATGTATTTGTCGAAGGATGCTTGTCGAATTAGGTTTTAGTGTTTAAACCCTAATTTGTTAAGTTAGCTTGTTTGCTAAGTTAGCTTGTATAATGGGCCTTGTGGAAAAAGCCCATTAGTTAGTATGTTAGGTTTTATTATAAATAAGCATACTAGTCTCTCATCATTGCCATCACAGCAAATCCTATTAAAGGGTGAGAGGGTTATTTGTTATTCTTGTAAACTTGTAATCTTGTTTTCTAAGAGAAAGTAAAGAATAGCAGTTATAACCAATTCTTGTGTTCTTCTTCTTCCTTGTTCTTTATTCTTCCCTTATTCTATACTTTGTTATTGGCATTGAATTCACAACAGAACCAAATGTAAAATTAGAGAAGAATGTAGAGGAAGACAAAGTCGATGTAACTTTGTTCAAGCCAATTGTGGGATCTCTGAGGTATGTGTGCAACAGTTGACCTAATATAGGTTTCACTATAGAATTAGTAAGAAGATATATGAGTGAACCAAGAGTGTCACATATGAAGGCTGCAAGAAGAATCCTGAGATATTTGAACGGTTCGATAAACTGTGGAATACTATTTCGACGAGATTTTGAAGACAAAGAAGCAATAGTTAATTATTTTTCAGATGCTGATTGGTATGGAGATAAGGAAGATCGAAGAAGCACAACTGGATATTTCTTTCAAGTATTTGGTGCCTCAATCTCATGGTGTTTGAAGAAACAACCTGCGGTGGCATTATCATCTTGTGAAGCTGAATATATAGCTGGATCCTATGCTGCATGTCAAGCAATTTGGATCAGATCTGTACTTGAAGAAATGAAGGTCGAAGTGAAAAAACCTCTTGTATTGCAAATCGACAACAAGTCAGCCATAAATCTGACGAAGAATCCAATTCTGCATAGAAGAAGTAAACATATTGAAGCAAGGTTTCACTTCTTGAGGGAAAAGGTAAATCGAATTGAACTTGAAGTAAGACATTGTTCGAGTGAAGCACAGTTGGTCGATATTTTCACCAAAGGATTGAAGATTGACAAATTCATGAATTTGAGAAAGAAATTAGGAATAGTTCTGATTGAATATTTTTGAGGATGTTCGACAACTTGGATTATGGGGATGTGTTGAAATATTAAATTAGATTTGTTAAAATATTAGATTAGATTAGATTAGATTAGATTATATTTAATATTTAAATATAATTCAAGTTGTGTAGATCCAAGTCCAATTAAGGTTGTATATAAATAATTATATTCTGTATCATTATTTGTACAATTCAATAACGTAAATATTTTTTTTTTATTATTCTCTATTTCTCTCCTCACTAAAGTGTCTCACACATTAACCGCTTCTACATTGACGTGAATTTTGGCGCTAAAAGTTTGTTTTACAAACCTTAATCTTTTTTGAAAAAAACAATGTATTTAAGTTTTTAGAAACTTAAAAGATATTGATTGTAATGTACTAATATTTTTATCTATAACTTCCTTAATTATCATTAAGGCATTTGTTAACGTATGTAATTTCTTTTGACCCTAAGACTATTTGTAATGGGGTGTTGAATAAATTTTCAATAGTTGAATTGCTCAAATGAATTATTGAATAAGGTGTTGAATGTGATATGAATTAATTTGTGTTGAAAACATTCAACATGTTAAATGAGAAATGAGTGGGGGCCACTTATAATACTTTACAAAATATAATTGGTTGTTGTGATTGTTTATATTTTTATCTCAGCTAAATTATTTGGAGTCAATTATTTTATAGAAAATTAATTTTTTATTTATTTTTATTTTCACCAAAATTCATCATTTTTTTGTCTATAAATAGAGCATTGGTTCATTTGATTTGGACAAAGAAAAAAATCTATTTATTCTCTCTAATTTTTCTATTTAGCCTCCAATAAATTATTGTTTATAGCTCTAAACAATTTTTTAGTGAAATGAATCCCAATAATAACCCTCTTAACACCCAAAATTCTACTAATTATCCTTTCAACTACCCAAATCCCAATTATATATTTCAAAATCAATCTTCCAACCAACAAGGTCCCTAAAATATACCAAATTTCATAATACCGTTATCTAATCCAAACTATCGTCCATATTATAGATATGATGTCATATTCATCTCAAGCACCACCTTATTATTCTTCTACTCCAATGGGAAATGAAAATTTTCCTAATGTTGTACTTGATGAATTTCCTGATTTTTCTACACAAATGGCTCTTGGTGGCATGAGCGGTGGTCATGGAGCCACTCCAAATGTAGAGGATTCAACTCCTGTTCGTCAGAAAAGCCCCAAATGGACCACTGGTCAAAATTTGGTTCTAATTAGTGGGTGGATTAAATATGGAACAGACAATGTTGTTGGGAGAAACCAAAAAAGTGATTCATATTGGGGTAAAATTGCTTATTACTGTAATGAGCATTGCTCATTTGATCCTCCCTGTGATGGAGCTGCATGTAGAAATCAATACAACTACATGAATAAAATACTTAATAAATGGACAGACGCTTATGATAACGCCAAGCGTATGTAAAAAAGCGGGTGGTCGGAGAATGATGTATTGGCAAAAGCGCATGAATTATATTCAAGTGGTAAGAGTGGACATTTCATTTTAATGTCAGAATGACTCGCTCTCCGTGATCAACCACGTTATGGTAGGTATGTAGGAGGAAATAGTAGATCTGTAGGTAGTGGATCTAAGAGAGCCCACGAGAGTGATGTAAGTGATTCCAAATCCGTAGAATCTAGTGCTCGCCCAATGAGGAGGGATGCAGCAAAAAAAAAGATAAACAAAAAAGCAATGTCGCAGCCTTAGAATCGATCAATGAAGAGTGGAATAAATTCAAACAATTTAAGGAGAAAGAGTTGGAACGATTGGACAAAATAGCCATGAGGCAAGAGGAAGTTAACCAATTGTTGAAAGAAAGTACTGAGACTAAGAAGATGAAGATGTTTGTGAAGCTAAGTTCAAAGGAGCATCTTGATGATCGGAGCAAAGAGTTGTTGGAAAAGTTGGGTCGCGATCTATTTAGAAATTAAATATTGTTAAGTCATTGTTTGTATTTTGTTTCTTATCTACTATTTTCTATATTATCAAGTCTTTATCAAGTCATTGTCAAGTCATTGTTTGTATTTTGTTTCTTATTTACTATTTTCTATTTTGTCATTTTGTTTCTTGTCTACTATTATCTATATTATCAAGACATTGTTTGTCACTTAGTTTCTTGTCTACTATTATCTATATTATTAAGACATTGTTTGTCACTTAGTTTCTTGTCTATTATTATCTATATTATCAAGACATTGTTTGTCACTTAGTTTCTTGTCTACTATTATCTATATTATTAAGATATTGATTTCTATTTTGTCATTTTGTTTCTTGTCTACTATTATTTATATTATCAAGACATTGATTTCTATTTTGTCACTTAGTTTCTTGTCTACTATTATCTATATTATCAAGATATTGATTTTTATTTTGTCATTTTGTTTCTTGTCTACTATTATTTATATTATCAAGACATTGATTTCTATTGTGTCACTTAGTTTCTTGTCTACTATTATCTATATTATCAAGATATTGATTTCTATTTTACCATTTTGTTTCTTGTCTACTATTATTTATATTATCAAGACATTGATTTCTATTTTGTCACTTAGTTTCTTGTCTACTATTATCTATTTTATCAAAATATTAATTTCTATTTTGTCATTTTGTTTCTTGTCTACTATTATCTATATTATCAAGATATTGATTTCTATTTTATCGCTTAGTTTCTTATATATTATTGATGTACCAATACCAAAAATATGATATTACTAATCTTATAAATGGAGACTCATTCTTCCATTAATGTACCAATACCAAAAATCTCATATTACTAAAAAACATCAATAGATCCTTCAGAATTTCCCTTTGATATTGAAGCTTACAAAAGGCTGTCTGAAATCAAAGAGAGGTATATCGTCAACCGGTTCAGGGAGTGACGAAACCAAATAAAGGAAGGATATACACTTAATGTTAAGAGAAAATTTCTCAATAGAGATCATGCAGCGGAAAACCAAAGACTAATAGAAGACTACTTTGCAGACCAACCTACATATGACGATGCAATGTTTCGTCGGTGATTCCAGATGCAAAAACATGTGTTCCTTAGGATCGTTAGGGAACTATCTAGCAGTGACAACTACTTCACCCAAAGAGTTGACGCAACCAAAAAAGAAGGTATATCTCCATTAGCAAAATGTACCACGACCATGCGAATGTTAGCATATGGTGTGGCGGCCGATGCGGTCGATGAATACATTAAAATAGGAGGTACAACAACATTAGAGTGCTTGCGTAGATTTTGTAAAGGAATCATATAATTGTATGAACCAGTGTATCTCAGAGTCCTAACTCAAGATGACCTGCAAAGAATACTACATGTTAGTGAAATGCGGGGGTTCCTGGGGATGATTGGGAGTATTGATTGCATGCACTGTGAATGGAAAAATTGTCCTACATCATGGGAATGTCAATTTACTCGGGGAGATAAGGGAACCACCATTGTTATTCTTGAAGCAATTGCAACTTATGATCTATGGATTTTGCATGCCTTCTTTGGATGTCCGGGCACATTGAACGATATAAACGTTCTAGACCGTTCACCCGTGTTTGATGATGTTGAACAGGGGAAAACTCCAAGAGTGAACTTCTTTGTGAATCAACATCTGTATAATATGGCATACTATCTTGCTGACGGTATCTATCCTTCTTATCCGACTTTCATCAAATCAATTAGACCTCCTCAAAGTGAACCAGATAAGTTATTTGCAAAATATCAGGAGGGATGTCAGAAGGACATCGAACGTGCATTTGGGGTGTTGTAGGCTCGATTTAAAATCATTCGCGAACTAGCCCGTTTGTGGGATATAGCCGATTTGGCTCTCATCATGAGGTCATGTATCATATTGCATAATATGATTGTTGAGGATGAACGAGATACATATTCTCAATATTGGACATATTATGATCAATCTAGGGCAAGTGAGTCTGGTACACCAGAGCCATTCTCGACCAAGGTGCTACCTTCATTTGTAAATCATGTGCGTGCTAGATCTGTGATGTGTGATTCAAATGTACATCACGATTTACAAGCAGATCTAGTCAAACATATATGGGTAAAGTTTGGAATGTTTCGTGATTAAATAGATTGTTTGTGAGTTGAGTCTATTGTACTAATTAAGTTATGTGTGTTTCATTTTAAGTGTGTTGTGTGTTGTGTGTTGTGTGTATTGTATTGTATTTTAAGTTTTTTGTAATTACAAATATAAAATTAAAAAAAAAATTAAAATAAGTTTTTAAATTAAAAAAATTAAAAAAAATTATTTAACTCTTAATTATTTTAATTTAATTTCAATTGATAATTATTATTAATATATAATAAAAAAACAAAAACATAAAAAAGAAAATAAAAATATGAAATAAAAGTGGTGGAGTAAAGTGTTAAATTTTATTAAACAAAATTATTGTAGTGAGTAAAACTTGAATAAATATTAAATTATTAGGTGGAAGAGAGAGAAAATGATGTGAAATATAAAAAATGAGAAAAATAAGAGTTGAATAATTTTACAATCGTAGATATTCTAATAAGTAAGGAAGCTAGAATAAAAGAGTTAAAACAAATGAGTTATTTCACTTGGTGTTAAAAAAGGTATGGTAGAAATAAAGTGTAGATTGAGTACAGCTGTAGGTAACCTGAAACCCAGCAGCATTAAATGTTGAATGGAAGTTTATGTTTTGATGAAAATACAAAACTAACCCTCACATGAGTTGGTTTAATTTACACAACACGGCACAACACAATAGAATGCAACGCCCCCTTAAATGAGGCAACTCTTGTTTTTGTAATTTACCATTAAATGGACAACCCAAGTACACTTAACTTCATATTCACTCTTCTATATCCTTATTCTCTCTCATCTCATTTGCCTTTACTTTTACTACCTACTTACTTTCTCTCTCTTTTTCATTTGTCAATTTTTACAACTATAACTTACTTTACACTCTTTTACAACCTTCATGTGCATGCGTCACCTTCATCAATTTATACATTCTTTTTTTTTCTTTCTTTTATGTGTTTCCATATATAAAATAAACATTATTTTAAAATAACACCAAATCAATAATAAATTGCATCGTTATTTAATTTTAGATAACAATTTACACATAAGTTTTGGCACTATTTACAAAAATCAACTAATTCTTGTCTATTATATAATATTGAATATATTTTTAATTTTTAATAATTTAGATTTAGACTTGCTTAATATTCTTTATATGACATGTCATTGTCGTTGATTAATTTCTCTTTCTCTAAAGTTTACTATTTGGTTATATAGTAATATATAAATTTTTATACCATATCGATCGCTATAAGGAGCCGTGAACGTGAACGTTAACAAACATATATTTCTTATTTCATTTTCAAATCAAATAAAATATTCGGTTAGCTTTTCAATAACTTAGAGGTCTAAATCAATATGAAATTGACTAACACTTTTATTTTGGCTTCTTTTCTTATTTTTCTTATTATTGCTACATGCATAAGTAACTAGGACCATACATAAATCTATCACAAAATCTGTTAGACCTTATAGATGATCGCATGAAATAGAGTTTTTTTTGTCCTATTATATTCATACGCGGGCCTAAAAAATTATTTCTTATCTTTCCATTTGTTTAAATACAAATGGATCTAAGACAAATAATTTTGGATTGGGCCTATTAGTAGTTACGTAGACTATGAGATGGACACGTCTAAACACATAATTTAATGAGTTCAATTGGACTGTAAAATCATAAAGCTTAAAAGATTTACCGACAATCCTCTTTGATTAGATGAAATTCTCTAACCATTAATATCGACATATGCAAAGGCTTTCTACCCAAAGCGTCAATTACAACATTTTCTTTAATCAAATGGTAACTCAAGTCAAAATCACAGTTCTTCTTAAATTCAAGCCACCTCATTCGTCTCATATGCAGTTCCTTCTGATCGAATAAGTACTACTCTTGTGGTCACTGAACACTTCAAATCTGAAATCGAACAAATAATGCCTCTAAATCTTAAGAGCGAATACAACAGAAGCCAACTCTAAGTCATGCGTCGGGTAATTCTTCTCATGAACTTTAAGTTGCCTCGAAGTATAAGCCTCAACATATCCATTATGCATCAACACACCTCCTAGACCCATCTTAGAAGCATCGCAATACACAACAAAATATTCAGTCGGGCTCTGCAAAATCAACATGGAGCCGACATCAACTTCCTCTTAAGTTCTTGGAAACTCTCTTCACACTTAGCATCTCAAACAAAATGCTGACCTTTCCTAGTTAGCTGAGTCAACAACAACGCTAACTTATAAAAGCCTTCGATAAACCTGTGATAATAACTAGCTAGCCCAAGAAACTTTTGAATCTCAGTGACCGACTTCGGAAGCTCCCACTGCAACAAAACCTTCACATTTGACGGATCAACAACAATCCCTCTATTAAAATTCACTTGGCCGAGAAAACTCACTTCTCTTAATTCACAATTAGACAACTTAGCATACAATTTCTTCTCTTGCAATATCTTCAACACAACTCGCAAATGTTCATCACGCTCTTCATCAGTCTTCAAATAAATCAAAATATCATCAATAAACAACACCACAAACTTATCCAAATACTGATGAAAAATCTTGTTTGTATACTCCATAAATACACCATGAGCGTTAGACACACCAAACGACATCATTGAATACTCGTAATGATTGTATCTCATCCTAAATTCAGTCTTCGGAATATTTCTGCCTTCACGCGTATCTCATGATACCTTGACCTCATGTCAATCTTTCTGAAAAACACAAGCACCCACCAACTGATCCATCATATCATCAATTCTCTGAAGTAGATACTTGTTCTTAATAGTTCCCTTATTTAGCTGTTGGTAACTCACACACAACCACATACAAACATCTTTCTTCTTCACTAACAATACTGGTGCACTCCA